GATCCGCATGCCTCAACAGGCTGTGAGTGTGTGAGTGAGTGACCATAAGCCGAACCTGGGAACAGCGTGTATAACACAGCAAGGAGTAGAATCATTGGAGTAGGAGCACCCTAATACCAACTGAACATGGTAAAGATGAAGGCAATTTATGTTGGAGTTTCAGAGTAGGTGGCTTCCACTGGCTAAATTCCCATTCTGTATCAGCACCAGCTCCTGGTATTTTCCCCTCCCACTACAGTCAAGGTGTGATGCCTTGGCTTCTTTCCACTGGTTTTCAGAAAGGATTGGGAGATGCCTTTGTGGTTCCCCTTGCACCATCCACATCAGCCAACTAGCAGCTCTCCCTTCTTCATCCATCAAAGCCCTAGGAAACAGCCATGAGGACACTGGCACAACCCCATGATACTGCAGCAGAAGGTAAGAGTAAGACCAGTGGAAGTGGCCCAACCTCTTTATACATTTATAAAATTTCAGTATCTGCAAGCTTGAATGTCTTCAAGATTCAGTTCATTACCAACTATCATCATCATCATCATCTTGATTTCAGTCACTGACCAGACCAACACTGTCTACTGTACAATATCAATAACATTGCATTAGGGTGCTAGGAGTGTCAAATGAAGCAAATACTTTCCACTTGGAGAGAACTGCTACTTACCGTTACAGTGTCATAGCCAAAGACCCCAGTGAGACTACCACTTCCATACTGTATAGAGAAGGTTTGTCCATTGCTGTAGTAAGTAGAAGACTGGTTGGGATTAAATAATGGATGGTTTGCTGGTGGTAGAAATGAGAGTGGAGGAGAGAAGGTTTTACTTTTGAGTTAACAACAAAACCAGGTTTAAATAATATCACAATGGGCCTGAAGGACAGAAAAGCGTTTCCACAATTTGTGTATTTTTTTATTCTTGAATGAATGAGAGAAAAGTACTCACTGCAAGGCTCACTCTGGCAATAGACAGATGGCACCCAGAGATTGGATGACCCAGTGTCGAAGAGAACCAAGAAGTCCTGGGGTGGAGTTCCAATACTGATCTCTCCATAATAGGACATCTAGAGAAAGAAAGACATTGTCATCATTCAAGGCTTCTGCACTTGGATGTTGATAATGTAAGGACTTAACACATTCAATAGAACATCCTGTACCCACTCAGAAACATATTGTTCAATATATTTTAGAAATGGCTATAAGCAAAAATATGGAAGAAATAAAAATTTCAGAGACATGGGTTTACAAAGCATTCCAACTGATTTGTGATAGTTTTTTTTTTAAGTAGGTACTATATAGCCAGAGTAATCACATTTACAATTCAGTTAGGTTTTCATATCTGCTTTAGTGTTAATTGTGCACATATTAATTGTGTGCATGTGACTGTGTTTGATGTTAGCTATCCAGCAAATTTCCAGATTATTACACAATTGCAATTGGAACCAGGCCTCTGATATTCTCAAATAATGTAAACTATTCCTGTCTAGTTTTCATCTTGCCATAATTGTGATAGTTTCCCCTTAACTAGCCAGATACTCACATCCATGTAGTTAGCAAGGGGCTCGATGCCAGTGGCAAACTTGTTCATGTATTTGCTGGCTGGATCATAATAGCGGTGTAGGAGCTGTTCATGGACACCTTTTTCCTTCATCACTTCCCTCATAGACTTGAATTTTTTTAAGGGTACCCTGTGTCAAGTGGGCAGTTAAGTGGAGAGTCAAAAAGGCAGCTCTAGATACTTCCCAAATTAAATTTTTTCACTGAAAGTTCTTTAGGCAGTTAAAGAGTTTCTCCGGATTGAGCCCAATGTCACTTTGGAAATTATACTAACTTCTGTTTAATCCTGCCAGGGTTAAATCTTGTCTTCATTGAACAGGAAATAGGACTCAGGGACTTCAAAGTCCCCCTTTCAACTCTACTATTCTATAACAGCATTATAAATTTGAGTAACAACATGAGTTCTAATTTTGTCCATTCTGTTAAGCACTGGAAAGCTGAGGCAGCATAATTCCAGTAAACTAAGGACCGAGAGAGAGAAAGAGAGAATCTGACTCACTAATTTTGGAGAAAGAAGATGGAATGGGATGAATTATTAGTCTAATATAACACAAAAATTTGTATTACACCGTCCTGAAAATACCCATATAGGAAACAGAAGTGTTATTTATCATAATAGCTACACAGAGTGGTTGTTACTCCTAATTATAACTATGCATCTGAGGTGTTCTTCCTGGGTTTCCTGGGAGTTATAATGATTAATATCCCAGAGTATACATCTTTAGCTGCAGCCCTATGTCCCCTAGGTCAATGCTACCTAATTTTCCACTTTTGAGCCAAAACACAAAGTAAATCCAGTTATTCTTCAACATTGACCCTTCTGAATTTTGGGATGCAGTTCTTCAGCAAAATGCTATGAAAGAATAAGATGAAAGTAATGAGCAGCAAGATAACATATCAGATAAGGCATACAAAGTGTAAAGTGTAAAGGCATGCATAGTTCTAAAACTATGCCCAAAAGGCATTACAATTTCCACATGAACATTTTAGGAAAAGGACATGAATCTAATACAGAAATGGGATGAGCGTAAGGGCATAAGCATAGGAACAAAAGCAACATCCTGCTGGATCGGACCCCTGGGTCATCTAGTCCAGCAGTGGCCAATCAACTGCACAAGAAAGCCCACGAGTCTCCCACTAGATGGCCCTCAAAGGCAGGCACACTGCCATCGAGTCTAATGGCCACTGATCCCCATGATTTCCACAAATCAATCCAACCCTTTTTTGACACTAGCTAAGCTGATAGCCAGCACCACATGTCATAGTAGCAAATTCCAGGGTTGAGAGAGAGAGAGAGAGATATCTGAAACAGATGTTTTACTCTGAGAGCAACTGAAGCTGAAAAGCAATTGAAGCTATAACATAATTGTGCCATACTCACTTGATAATAGCCTCACTGAGGTGAAGGCATACGAGGGCAAGGATTAGCCACTTCATGGTGCTCTGTTCCCAAATGCAGTTGCTAAAGTGATTTTTTTTAGCTCCTGCAGGGACTTGGGACACTAGGTAAAGATTGGTATGCTAGGTTCCTTTCTTTTATACCCTGAGTGGAGGTGGGTTTTTCCCCTGAACACATTCCACAAAGTCATGTATGAGTCCCTTATCAATGGATCATGATACTCCATATCGAGATTCTTCTCAAAAACATTTAGAAACTTATCTCAAGTAGACCTATTTAATCAGTAAAGCAAACACTGTTTTACATAATGTTCTAGGAGCAGAGATTGGTACTAGTCTTCTTATCATCATGACTTCAGTTCTCTTAATTAAAATATTTCCACTTGTACATGTGACAATAGTTTTGATGTGTGTTTTTGAAAATTAGGCTGAAGGAAACTTTTTGCTTATAGATCTGGGTTTAGAATGGAAAAATATACAGTATGGCCATAATCAACAATGCAATCTATATTGTTTCCATCCAAGGCCTGTCAACAGTATATCAGCAGCCTGAGAATTCCAAATTGTAACCTTCTAAATGGAAAGTCCAATTCTTTATTTCAGAGAAGATCCATTTTGAAATAGTATTGAAATGAGCAAGTAGAACCCCTGCCCTGTTTTGGGGACTCCCTCAACAATCCAGGATTGTACCATCAAAACTCAGCATCACAATGGCAATTATCCATGGTGCAGTAATTTTTACAACTAAAGAAAATATAGTAATTTTTACCATTTTTTAAAAAAAAGTTACAGTATTTTATTTATTTTTTAAAAAAAATCAAACTCCATTTTTTTAAAAATGTGAAACCTGGTGGTGAATGCTTCTTTGTAAGAGAGGATGTTTCTACCTGCTTTGAAGGAGGCAGTGGTCCATCTCCTCCTCAAGAAACCTTTCTTGGATACAACAGTATTGGACAACCTTTTGGGAAGGTTGTTGAGAAGTTGTTAGGCTTACAGCTTCAAAGGGCCCTGAAAGAAGCGGATTATCTAGACTCTTTCCAATCAGGTTTCATGCTGGGTTATAGTATTGAGACAGCATTAACTACACTTCTGGGTGACCTCTGGACAGACCAGGATGGAGTGGTGCATCCATCCTTGCTTCCTGGATATCTTGGTGGCTTTCAACACCAATGATCACAGTATATTTCTGGACAAGCTTAGGAGGTTAGGAGTGAGGGAGCAGTTTTGCAATGGTTCCCCTTCCTCTGAAGTGGGGGAGAGGCCCAGCCCAAGATCTCTGATGTATCGGGTGCTTCAAGGTTTGATTCTCTTCCAACTGCTATTAAACATCTACATAAAGTGAGTGGATTGTCTATCACAACATCTGCCCTATGGAACAGCCTCACTCCTGAGATCTGGATGAACCTGAACCTAGTGGCTTTCCAGAAGACAGTGAAGACCTGGCTTTTCCCCCAGTTGTTACAGTCAGAATGACAGCAGAAACCAATGTTTGTTTTTGTGTTGTGACCTGGTCATGAGGTTCCTTGATTACTGTACTATTATTTCCTTTTAACTGTATTTTTGTTTTGCTTTATACTGTTTTTTAATATGTTTTATTTTGTCCATTGTTTGTTAGTCACCCAGGGTTATTCATTTAAGATGGGCAGCCATATACATTTTCTAAATAAGTAGGAATATCAATCTGAAATAATAGTGTCTATTTACCTGCCTGGGACTGGAGTAAAGATCTCGGACTTCATATGCATACTGCTAACTTATACTCACCACACCACACTGCACCATCTGCATGACTTGTGGCCAGCACCTTTATCTATATACTACTAGCCATTCCTCTACATTCTGGTGCAGGCATCAGAGCATCAAACCACAATATCCCAATCAGAGGAGTAAAGGTGGGTATTGCTTCTGCTTGTTCCTCCTATTGTCAGTGCTGCCAAACAGCCAGTCATCCAGCCAGCCTTCCTACTGGGATTTTTGGATAGAAGGAAACTATGCTCCAAAGTATGATAGTCACAGCTAAACTGAAAGAGTTCATAGTCCTGAGATACCATTTCAGAGGAATGGAGGTGTTCTTGATAGGATTCATATTTCTGAATCTTCATCACATCTCCTTAAGAATTAGCATAGTCAGCATAGTTGAATTGGACACTTCTGGAGCTACTGTGGGCCAACCAAAAGTGCGAGAAGCTTGTTCAGTACAAAACATTAACTATACCAAGCCAAAACACAATACCTAACTCTTCTTTCTTAACTCTAAGATTCTTTTAACCACTGTTTCTTGGACAAGTTAGAGTAGCCTGGTTCCTACAGAAAACCAAGTTACAGTTCTTGGATTCTCACTTCATGTTAATCCAGAGTGAAACTGTACAGCTTAATCTAACATGTGAACCAAGTCAAAGTATATACATGGGTTATAATAATAAAGTTAGCATTTCTGAAAATAAACAGGCACAGCCTGAGTCCCCTGGCTAAGTGTAGCCTGTGAAAGTCTTGAATACAGTTCCCAGAGCTAATTGTTACCATCCATAGTACAATTTTTCAGTGTCATGTGTCAAAAGAGAAAAAAACAAATACCTGGGAGTTAACTGAATTTAATTAAGTTTAATAAAAGTATAAATTAAATTAAAACCAATTTAATTTTTCTTTGTTCCACCTATTTTTGAAAAGAAGTTCCGTAACAATAGCAACTTTTGTCCTCAGCCTGATAAAATGTTGTACTCAGAGTAAGTACCCTACTAAATATATAAAATAGAAATAATAGGTGGCAGTCTGAATATAAATTTCAAAAGAATTGACAAGAGAGGTTTTGATCTTCTAGCTTTTGTTTTATCATATATCAAATCTGTTAGGGTATTGGAATAGAGATAAATAAATATAATTATACATAAAATTATGGCCTCATTTAAAGTGTCAGATACTGGAATATAGAAAGTGATCTTTTATGAAGTCAGACCATCCTGGTAGCTCAGTAATATCTGTTTTGGTAATGAATCTCTAGGATGTTAGTCAGAAATCTTTACTAGGTCCAATTGGAGCTGCCAAGGATTAAACAGAAGACCTCTTGCATGAAAAACATATGTTCTGACGTGAGCTATAGCTTCCTCCAACAGGATATGGCCTGTGGTGAGGAATATTCATCTCACTTCCCATACTATGGGGTCAGCCCTTTGAGGTAGGCCAGGTCAGGAAACAGGCCTGACGGGGATTCCAGGAATGCTTTTTACTAGAGCAGTGTTTCTCAACACTGTGCTGTACTAGAGTAATGTAGAATAACAGAACTTTGAAAGCCTGCCCACATTTCTTTCTGCCCCATCTTATTCTAAACAAAATCAGGTTGGGGTTATTTGAGTTTCTTTCTCACACTTTCCTCTATCTCCAAACTATATAATCTTTTCTACAAGCCCCCCTTAACAGCTCTCTCATACTTCTCCAAGGTCAGTTCTATATTCCTTTACACTATGTTCAGGTTTAAAAATAAGTGGTAATGACAAACTGCACTTATATTGGAAAGCTTTGGAGGGTAAGGGCTTCTAGAAACATTTTTGGTTGCCAAGTGGACGGGGCAACATAACCTAGATTTAGGAATGGTTTGTGAACCTGAGAAGTCAAAAAACATTCCAAGAGAAGACAGTGACGGGCTACTTCTATAAAGATGCCCCCAAAATTATGATGGGTGAAGATACTAGGAGCCTATGTTGACTTAAGGGCATCTTACCTTATTGTAAGGCTTATACTAAGGTTTTCATTTGTTTCTCACATCCAAATAAAGGGAAACTCTGCCTACCATTTTCAGCAGTTGATGGTTAGAGCTCTGAAAACCTCAAACAGGGGATACTGAGCAATGTGCAATCATGCCACTTTTTTAGAAACTATTCATGCTCCTGATTGTACTCCATTACTTCAAGAGCCCCTTTGTTCTCTAAACCTCTTTCTCTTAGGAAACTGTATGTTCCCCTCTTCTGCAATTAGGACAAACGTTGTTTGCGGTCCAGTTAAGTTCTGCCTTATTTCTGAATGTTTACTTGTCCATTTTAGTATCTGATTAGTTTTTAATTCAGCTATTGATAAAAGAGTCCTATTTTCCATCATATTCTTAAGTTTTATTAACCTTCATGAAAATTAGAAATCTTATCATGGTGGATAACAAATCATATTTTGACCGTGTTAAGTCAGCTAAAAGCAGGGACCAAGTGATCAGCCAAAAGCAGTAACTAACTGATAAGCAGCTATAGATACCCAATTCATCTCAACCGAATGTGGCATTCAGTTCACCAATAAATGCCACGTAGCAAATTGAATGCCCTTTATAGTTTTAATTATACAGAAGAGGACATTTAACAGCTTTTTGCTTCAGCAGAGATTTATCACACTGGATAAACAGTGGAAACAGGCCCTGTAAGGTTCATGGTTACAGAATAAAAAGTAGAACTCTAATGGGAACGCTCTCTTCCATCATATACACTCTGATTTAATTGATGCTTGCAAGATTTCTAGTACAACTAATGGAACATGCGCTATTTCTTAGACTTATAAGTTGGAAGAGGCCCTTTAGGCCATCTGGTCTATCCTCCTACTTAGTGTGGGAATCAGATTAAAGTATCCCTGACTAATGTCTGTCTAGCCTTGAATACATTCAGTGAAGAGGAACTCATCCCTTTCGGTGTTGAACTGCTTTTACTCTTGGGGAGTTTTTTTCTAGCAAATGAAATTTGCCTCCCTGTATCTTAAATCATTTATTCTGTGGGCTATACTCTGGAACAATACTGAATAGATTTTAATAATCTTCTGTGTATAATCCTTTCAGGACTGCTATCATGTCATCTTTCAGTCTTCCTTCCCAAGGCTAAGCATTCCCAACTCCTTCAGTCTCTCTTTTTAAGATTTAGGGATTATCCAAACCGGCCCATTGCTCTGCCACCAGAATGGCCAGGCAAGCATTTCTGGAGGGCAAAAACAGATGGTACATTTTTCTGCTCTGCTTCAAAAGTACACTTTTCCACATGATGTCACTCTGAGCGCTCTTACTCATCTCAGGTAGCATACTTTAGCTTGTGGCAAGTTCACCCCAGCAGTTCATTTGCTACTTTGCAGAGGAAGTCAATGTTTACTATAGTCTGCAAT